CGCATTCTGAAATATAAAATAAAAAAAAAGGTTACAAAATTTTCTTTGGTCACGAAACTGCACTTCTCCATTAAAATTCAGAGCAGGATCCAATTTTAATTTATTCTAAACTAACTTTCACTTTAAAAAACTAGATCAAAACAAAGATTTTTATGATATAAAGTTACACAATTTAGTTTTCCTTTTAATTATTTTATATTTATAATTATTTCACTAATTAATTTATAAAAAACATAATAAATAATTTAATTATATCAGGAAAAAAATTAGCAACTTTATAACTAAATATTTATAATATAAATTTAGTTTATAGTTTGTTAAGTTTATTTATTAGAAGATAATTTTGTTTTGATAGAAATGAATGAAGTGGAAACAAAAATTTTAAATTGTTTCTATGGCATTTACTAATGTTTATATTATATGAATGGATATAGAAAAAAATTGATTAGAATTTCATCTATTTATAGTTTATATGATTGATAAGAATACAAGAACATCCATACATGGAACTTCCTTGTTTGGTTTTGAAATTTGAACTTCTGTCCACTTCAATAATCTGATCCCAACAAGGGAACTAAGGTTATGAGGTAGAAAATACGCAACTTCAAGTGGGAAAAAGTAACACGATGCCATTCAATCACAATTGGCATTCCATTGGGTGCCAATTTATGACCCTATAACTTGCTGACATTGCAAAATATCAGGTTGTTCTGCTATTTAAACTTGTTTTAGAATCAAATGAATTAATTTCTCTCTAACTTATCTTCATTAATAAATAATAAATGGGAGAAGATAAGGAAATTTTAAATCAATCTTTTCTTTATGAGGTTTCTTTTTTTCCTTTATCTGTTAATCTCACTTTCTCTTGTGTTGTTTATATAAAAGTCAATTAAGAAAATGATATTGAAAGTATTTGTTAGTTACACTTTTAGATAGAAAAGATGCAAGTAAGGCCATTTAAAGCAGGTTAAACTTATAAATAAAATCTTGCGGTTTTTTTTTTATATATATAAATTTTTTTGGCTTTAAGAGAAGGGTGAGTCCCCATATTTCTGATTGACCCAGCCCATGGCATGTTAGAGGCCCTGATCAATGACATAAATCACTTTATGGCTTTCGTGACAAAAAAAATCAACCAAGTAACCACAAAATTTAAATTTTTATGTTTATACATGCGTGTATGTGAATGTATTTTTGAAAGAAAGTATTAACGTTATGGAAATTTTACGATTTTATCTCTTTGGTTATTTAACTGAATTACTTTACTTTTATTTCGAAGAGTTAAAGGTTATGAAATTTAAATTAAAACGATATAAAATAACGTAGATACATGCATATTAATGGCCATAAAGGTAAATAAAAAAAAGGGGCTTGTAAATAGAAATTATAGTAACAAAATAAAGATCTGGTTAAGATAAAATGCCAGAATTTTATCTTGAAGATAGATCTTAAGTAGATTTTTAAGAATAATTTAATACCTTTTTTAATCCAATGCCTAAAAACGCACTTTAATATGTAGCCTACACGTCGAACCTTAAAGGTTCACGTAAAGTTTACATTAAAGCGCAAGGATCGCACGTAAAGTGCACGTTAGAGCGCAAGGATCGCACGTAAATGATAATAGAAACGAAAAAAGCTGCTCTTCAACACGTATTTTACATATTAAAGTTCAAGAAAATGCAATATGCATCTAGCATTTACAGTTTACAAAAGAATTTACACAAAAAAATCGAAGTATTCACGCTTAAATAGTGAGTAAAAAGCTCGAATAAATTGTTATTAGAAACAAAAACAAACATTTAAATTAAAAAATAAAAAAAAACAGAAATTACAATACAAAAATCATTATCATTTTTGTTTTGGCATTAAGTTAGTATAACATTAAAGAAAAATGCCGACCGGAAAATTTGAAATTCCTTTTATTCTCAAGAGTTTTTTTAAGCGTTAAGTACCGAGTTGTTCTTAACAAACTTGATTAATAACTATTCTTTGAAGAGGTACAAAAGCGGAACCGGATAAGTTTAGATGAAGTGACTAATTATGTAGAAAGACAGATGTTGGACTTTAAACTTCGCCGTCGGACAAACTTTAGGCAGATGTATGAATGAAAGTTTTGTTACATTATCAATGGCTTGTCTGTCTACCAATATCGCGAAGATCGTTCACGGTTTTTGTCGACTGTCACACCTGCTGAGAATCGTTTTTATTTATTCTACCCTTCTTATAATGATAGTTTGATATCTAAAGTCAAGATCTAAATTCTTCAAATTTGTGTATTAAATTAATAAAATAACTAAATATAATGTTAAAATTGTTCAAATTTAAGTGATTAGTGACAAGATAAACTTGGATATCTAATGCTTAGTAGCAAGAAAACTTGGATGTTTAATTCAAGAAATACTAAAAGGATCATTTTTCTTCCTTCCTCCGAGAAGATTTGATATCCAACTCGCGAACAAAATTATTTAAATAAATAAATTTAAGGTTTTGCAGCAGGAAACAGCAAGAAAATTTTAGATATTTAATCCAAAAAATCAAAAAAAATTGTATTCTGTCTTTTTCCCCCTCTTCCTTCATTCTCCACTTCTTCATTCCACTTCCCCCTCTTCCTTCATTCTCCACATATATAAGAAAATTTCATATCTGAACTTGAGATGAAAATTCCGAAAATTTGCGTATTTAATATTAAAATAAATAAATTTTAATTTTAAATTCTTCAAAATTTTGAAGTTTAGTAGTAAAAAAAACAATTTAAATGTTTAATAATAATAAAATATTTTAAAATTTTATCTATTTTTCCTCTTTTTCACTAAAACTTCATATCTAAAGTTCAGATTTAAAAAAAAAAAACTTTTGGAATTAAATATTAAAACTTATTTAAATTCGGATTTTAATAGTAAACTACGGGTATTTAATTCTAGAAATATTAAAAAATTATAAAATTATTTTTTATTTTTATTTTCTCGCTTATCTTCTACTAAAAAAATTTATACCATGTCTAAATTATAGAGCAACAGTCTACAAATTTACATGTTTAATAATGTTAAAATTCTTCAAAATTTAAATGCTTAATTGCAAGAAAAACTTTGAATATTTAATTTAAAAATTATATTTAAAAAATCACATTATTTTTCCACTTCAATAAAAATTTTATATCCAGGGAATTGCTTGAAGGAAAAGAAAAACCTGCTAATAACCCGCTCCTATGGGAGCAGCCATTGCTCCATAAGCGCTTTTTAATTGCAATTTAAAGTCGGCATATAATCCGCACCCCTTCAAATTGTCATTTAAACACAGATAACCCGCGGAAAAATATGGCAGATACGAAAAAATTCTATATTTATCAGCATAATATCTAAAATTTTATATTAAAATCAGAAAAATTTGAATATTAAATACCAAAAAAAAAAATCTATTTTTATTCAATTTATTTTGCTATACCCAAACTGAAGATCAAAATTCTTAAAATTTAAAATACTGTATTAAATTATAAAATAATTAAATATAAAATTAAAATATTCCAAATTTAGGTTTTAATAGCAAAATGAAATTGGATATTTAGTAATAAAAAATATCAAAAACTTGAATTATGTAGTTCCTTCCTTTCTACCAAACTTTGATATGCAAATTTGAGATCAAAATGATAAAAAATATGAATATTTAAAAAACAAAAAAAAATGATTTAACAGAAAAAAAATCGAAATCTAAAATTCGAATTTAATCTATAAAAACGTGGATATTAAATATTAAAAAGGGTATCAGCCTGGCGCTCCGGGAATCAGGGATCGAATCCGGGCGAAGAACTTCAGAAATTTTTCATGGAAAATCTATACTAGATATGTCAGGCCCCATCCTTTACAATCCGATCGCCTCCCATTGTGGGCCTGGCCGAATTCACAATGGAATATGGAAAAAAAGGCATTCTAAGTGCCCACAAGAGGAAAAGAGTTAAAATATTTCTTCCTCTCCTCTTTTGGGGTAATTTACTATTAAAACTATTAAAACTATTGAAATTCGAATAATTGTTAGCAAATTTGATTATTTAATTTCTACAAAAATTAAATTTAGTTTTAAATTATAAAAATTGGATTTTAACCGTCAAAAAAGATAATTTTTTTCTTCTTTTTTTTAAGATAGTTTGCAACACCTAAACTAGAGATCAAAACTCTTAAAATTCGTTTATTTATATAAAAAATAAATAAATAAATAAATGACTATCATCTTACATTGCAAAACATATATTTTACAAGTGAAATAATTTATTCTATAAATAAAAAATATATATATATATGTCAAATGAGCTATTAAAGTTTCATGATCATGAATCATCGAATCGATCTTGAACAATTTCACTCTCAAATAAGATATGAAAGTAAAATTCCCGATGACTCAACACGTTTTATATACGAAAAATTATAACCATATATGAACAGCATTGAGTAAAAATAATATTAACAAGTTTATATTATATCATTAAACTTTAAATTAAAGTAATCAATCCGAGAAGAGTTTGAGGACATAAAAAGTTCATTACACTTCTTCAATTGTATGGGTAACGTTTATGGACGTTCCAACAATTTTTTTTTTTTTTTTTTGTTTTCTGAGTAACAACGAAGCATTTCTACTTTGTTATATCAATTTAAACAAAAAAATATTATCTTATCTTAACGGAATGAAGAAGATAAAATGATTTTCCGTCATAAACTAACCCATCTAAAGACATTGATAAATGGCCACACTCTATATAAATTCTGTAGCGTGGTTAGGTGGGATGTCACGATATAAAACCGCAATTAAAAAATAAAAAAGGAAAATTTAAATAAATTTTAATGATCTAGTTCTTTTTTTTTAAAAGCCCTTTAAACTGGTTTAAAGTACAGTAATTAAAGTTACGTTACTATATTATTTTTATTTATTTATTTATTATTTTTTCTTTATAAAGTGCAGCGTGCCGTTGTTAGAGTATTGATAGATTAACTTTCAGTAAAATGATTAAACAATTCGCGATGTCACATAAATTATGCTTTAAAAAATATATTAAAAATGTGATGAGTTAGTATGACTTATCAATCTACTTATTAATTAACTGGCACTGTATTTTTAGCAAAAATAAATAAATGTAGAAGCGTTATTATTCTTCCTTTCTATAGTCTAAATTTGTTAATTATCAATGTGAAAGATAAGAGAGAAAGCGTGACAATCTGTAAATAATCTTTTAACAGTTTAATAATTGTTTAAACACGAATTTTCCTCCTTTTTTTTTAAAGAAAATTCTCTAAATAAGTAGCTTATAACATTGTAATTAATATATCAAGATAAAAGATGAATTAGGAGCTTTATATTTTAGAAAAGATGAAGGTTATAATTCATCTTCTAAAGTTTTCATATTCTAAAACTTTCTAATTTTAATAGGAAAAAAAGATTTCTAATTCCAATATAAAGTTCTAGAATTTATTAGAAGTAAAAAACTTATTCATAAACACTTCTAATTCATTTTATAAAGCTTTCTAATTCTAATTCTAATTAATTCTTCTACTTGTGATTTATTCTAATGAAACTGTCCAATTCTAATTAATTCCAATAAAAAAAATAATAAAGCTTCTAATTATATCAGTAGAAGCCTTATAATTTCTAAATGATCAAGCTCTTAATTGATCTTACAGTATTATAATTAATATCTCAAGATAAAAAAATGAACTGGAAGCTTTGCATTTTATAAAACAAACCATCTAATTTATCTTTGTTTATCTCTAGATATTAGTTATAATTCATTGTCTCAAATTCATAAAGTAAAACTTTTTACAATTTGTTCTTGAATGATTATTTTATATCAATTTTAACAGAAATAATCATATAAAATGATATTTATTATGATAAAAAATAAGATTTTTTTCCTAGATATAAAGGATTTTATTTTTATTATTATTATGGTAGAATTTGATAAGATTGTGAGAATTTTATATCATTATTAATTAGAAAAAACAATCAACTTTATGTGAAATTCCCGGTGAAAAGTTGGCATAAAAAATATACCATAGACGAGATAAGAATTTTAATGATGTATCCCATAAAAAAGGGGAAAATCTACAAAATTCTAAGTATTTTGAACAGCAAAAAACAAAAAACATTCGCATAGAACGTGAGTTTTTTTTATAATTAAAAAACCCCTTAGTTAATTATCAAAAATCTCATTATAAATTACTTCTGGCATAAGATTTGCATCATTTTTTAAATAATTTAATGTGTAGAAATCGCGGAAAAATTAATTTCGGCGCTTAATTAACAAATTAAAAAAAAAAGAAATTTTGCAAAAAGTATGAAAAATTATTATTTTAAAAAATTCCAGACTCATTGGTCTTAACCAATGAGTCTAGATTTACTATCTGTTATAGTAATTGGAAGCAGGAATGTATCAGATTGTAAACATTTAAGAAACTTGCAAACAGTTTAACGTCATCGCCTGATAACAAAGTCTTGTCTCCGGAATGTGGGATGACAATATCAATGTCAGTAACGAGCAGGTAGATATAGATAATTGCCACCCCACAAAATATTCATAAAGGTATCAATGGGGTGCGGTCACGTTATACAAACGAATGGAGCGTGAATTCGAACAAGAAAAAAAAAATTTTGTTTTTCGGGGGGGGGAGATAATTACCCAGAATTCAATACCGGAGCCGGAGTGATGACCCATTACATTGCAGATTCTAAGTTGGTCCTCCAGTAATCCTATATTAACCGAAGCGGTGTTATGGAAATTGATACAGAAATCGATTATATAAGCTAAATTGGATAAACTAACCTGGATCGTAATCGTAATCCCAGAATATACTCCTTTCATTCCTTTGATTTAATCCTGAATCGACTAGAAGAAGTAGGAGCAAAGCAACGACCAGTTCCATGACCGCGGGCATAGAGAGCGGGTTAGTGCCGAACATGTTTAGTCTCCTCCTCCTGTCAGTGGTTGGTTCTCGGTTGTGGCGGCTTATCTTTGCTAAATTTTGATGTCTTCTTCTATAATCGATCGATCATGATCGATTTTTCATCGATCTATGCCATTATTATATTATATACTTAGAATGAAACGTGTACTAAGTTCAGACGTTCGCTACTTAAACACGTTCGCACCTCTTCTTCATAGTATTTTATCGTTTTTTAAAGGTATTCAAAGTATGAATCGTTGAATTTTATATACTTTTACACATAAATTACTATAAAGCACCATGTAGCAATTTTTATACACTGAGCATTAAGAGTGTACAAAGTTCAGGCGCTCGCTAGTTAAACACGTTTACACTCCTTTCTTAGTACGATTTTATCGTTATTTGAAGGAATTTATTGTCTAAATCGCTAAATTTTATATACTTCTGCACGTAAAAATTACTATAATGTACTGCGTATTAATTTTTATATACGCTACTTAACATTAAACAAGCATAAAGTTCTGGAGCTCGCTACTTAAACATGTTTGCACCCTTTCTTGGTAGTTTGTATAATTAATATTAAATCATTGATTTGTTCATATTTCTGTGTAAAAATTGCCATATTACATCATATACCAATTTTTAAAGGTAAATTTTTTTTTCATGATCTTCTTATCAAAATTTGCACTTTAGACATTGATTATTCTTTGATAATTTTTTAAAAATATATTTTTAAAAAATTAATTTTTAGTAAATATTTGATTTTAAATATTTATTCTTGATTAAAATGAAAGCAACAGGATGTCAGTTTATTATTATTAGCATTAACACCTGCAACAATATCAACTTCGATTCAGTGGAAGCTTAGATATTCCCTTACAAGTTAGACCTTTACATTATTAACACCAGTGTCTAACTCTTTACTTATTATAAAATTCTAATTTTGGATATAAGTATACATTATCGCATGTTTTATTTTTGTCCTGTTTCTCCTCCTCATCCTCATCTTCCTTCTCATCTTCTTCTTCCACTTGACATAATACCAATTCTTTGGCATAATATCAAGAAAAAACCTCTTTAAAGTTATAAAAAAGATATTTCTTATAAATTTTATACACTTTTTATAAATAAAACAAAAAATAATTTATTTAAGATTATACAAAAATGAATTATGACAGTGATGAAGTCTGTTAGCTTTCTGTCAACAAGGTTCTTTCTAAATTAAAAATTGCTCTTATGTTATTTTGAAAGTAGTAGGAATTTGGTTTTTTACTTGAAGCATATTTCAAGTAATTAAATTATTTACTTTAGTAGAATTCATAGCTTTGTAAATGAAAATATGTATCATATAGTTTCAAATTATGTAAATAAAGATATGTTATAATGAAAAATATCTCTCAGACTTTTGTGGAATAATTTTGCATTTTTATGTATTGTACCTCATTGAAAGTATCCTTCCATATAAAAGTATTCTTAAAGTATTCTAAATAATCTAAAGTAAACTATCAAATTATTTTAAAGTGTCCTACCATATAAACATTCATAAAATTATCATCATAAGTGTTTATTCTACAAATTTAATTTAAAATTATTACTGATTATAACTTTGTGATTAAAGCTTATATAATTTATATAAAATTTAACTACATTAATCATTTAATTTTCTCAACAAAAACAATTACTTTGATACATGGAAACATCAATTGTTTTTCTTAGTTGGAAAATGCTTGATTTAATGTTAATTTNATAATTTTTTTTTTTACCAGACTAAAATAGATGTTAGTATTAGGACCCTTCCTTTTTTTGAAAAAGAAAACAGTAAAAATCTAATAAAAATAAATACTGGACCCTATCTAATTGCTACAACAAATGTTCCAATTTATATTTGGTCAAAAGTACAAAGATTTTTTCGAATATTCTAAACAAACGAAGTATAATTACGTGGAATATTAGAGTAAAATCAAAGTACAGTTAAAAAGTATATAAAAGATCGCGTGACAGATATTTTACTTTGGAACCTGAACGTGTAGAAAAGTCAGTATACTGTACTTTTCCGCATTATCTGTATATTTATGTAGTAGCTAAGCTAAGCTAACAGCCAGGCTAGGAGTGTTAATAGCGTAGTTGACAACGCACATCTGGCTACTGTATAAATTATACGAAAAGCCACCCCTTTGAGGGACATGTAAGAGGTCAAATATTTAATTTTCCTATTAAAATTATAGTTTAAAAAGTCATTAAAAGTGCGTTTTTATCATAACGAAATTAAACTTTCAGCAATTCTGTGTTGTTCTAAGCACTTTAAATGTCTCAAAGTACAAGTTTAATGTTTAAATTTTGTGTTTTTTTTAGTAAAAAAAAAAGTCCTGTGATGAATTTTTTTTTCCTTTTTTTATCAGCAGAAAGACCTATAAGCATACTTAAACACTGTACCTGACACGAATAAAGAATTAGAAAAGGTCTGAGGCCTGTTTAGGAAATGCTTCAGTTGCTCGACATTTAAAAGATCTATACAACAATTGTAAAAGTAAAATACAAAAGCGAGTGAACCGTAAAAACGCTCAGCACTCAATAAAAAACACAAAAAAAATGGATGAATTTTTGACAAGTTTGAACATGTAGAAAGTGACAAGTAAAGAAGATATAAAGACAAAAAAAAAGAGAGAACATTTTTATTTATTTATTATATATTTAACCTCGTGTTATTTATTTATATACTTATTAACATCATTCATAGGACGTGTACGGATGCATTTCCTCATCCATGATGACGTCAGCAACAAGTGGGAATAGGGGAAGAAAGAAGGAAAAAAAAGGAAGGAGGATAAGATAAGAAGTGTAGTGGATGGAAAGGGAGAGTGAGTGAGTGGCGGCCCTTTGCAAACTAGAAATAAAAACAGTTCAGTGATTGTAGTCGTAAAGTGATCAACAGCTAACACGTGTAAAGTGCCGTATAGGATATGGGCTGCACCTCTGCCATATTCTTAGTATTAAAAACCTTTACGTCTAAGTTGATAAACCAGATGTAAAAATCACTTTTCTCGGTCTGGTTATTGTCGTTGAGCCATATACTTGGCACTTAAATCGAATAAATTGACTTCGAAGGCTATTTGTCAATTCGAAAATTGTGCGACAAAGAATAGAATACACTCCAAAATATAGATAAGTGGCCATTATCGCATCTTGTATTTAAATACTACAGAAAAAAAAAGTATATATTTCTTAATGTTTCTATTTATGGAAAGATTATATTTTTATAAATTCTAGTTTAATTAATTCATTTCTCATCGCAATTATATAAATAGCCTTTACAGTGTGACGTCACTATAACGCTACAGTTAATAATAACGAGTTTTGTTTATTTTATAGATCTTTTTCTAAATAAAAAAAATAAAAAATAGATATTAAATAGGTTACGTGATTAATTTAAGAGAAAAATTATCGCATAATGAACTTGTAACGTTACTCTCCTTGTCTAAGAACTGGAAGTAAGTCAAACGATGCCCACACAAGTAGCATACATAAATCCTAATATGGCATCGAAATAATTCAATTTCTTCCTACACGATGGCGCCACACCTTAAACTTAAATTATCATCCTGAATTTATTATTAATAATCACAAGGTTTCTTTCTTTCTCTTTTTAATTATCTAAATACTTTAATTAATAAAATTAAAATTACTCTTCAATTTTTTTTCCTAATTTAAACGATTAAAAAGTTTTACAATTAATAAGTAATTTATACTTTAATTAATAAACTCCAGTTTGTTTTGAATATTTTATGTATGATTATGTAAATTAACTTTAAAGATAAATAAATTAAGCAAAAATAACTAAAATAATTGCAGAAATTTAACTTAATACCTGTACTTTTTTTTAATACCAAAAATCACAATAAAATAAAATAAATATTTAAAAAAATAAATAAATAAATAAAAATTCATTGAATAAATAAAAAGATGATTTTATAATAATAATTTTATTAACATTTTTACAATATAAAGTTGAAAAATAGTGAAAAAGTAAAATTTTTTTTGAAAATTTTTGTATTTTATTCCCACTATTTAAATTTTGAGATAAATTATAATGAACATTTTAATTAAAAAAAATTATTTTATAGTTTATCTTAATAGACTTTTATTCATTTTTATTTTAAAAAATTAGCTTTTTATATCATTAACTTTATATCTCTATACAATACAGTACAATACATATGTATATATGTTGTATTGTATTAAGTGAATAATATTAAAAAAAAGTCAATTTTTTTTAAAAATCCATTGAATATACTATAAAATAATTTTAAATATAAATAAAAAATAATATATTGTACTGTGTCTTTCTACCTTCTACATCTGTACATTAGTTTTTTAACTATTTAATTCTTCAAAATATATCTAACATATAAAAGATGTTTAAAATTAAAATATACAATACATTATATATATTCCTTATTTATATATTTATTATTATTATTTTTAATTTACTAAACTGCAAGTTTAATTGACAATTATCAAAAACCAACTTTTATATACAGCAATGAGTAGGTTGATATAACTTTATATTTTTTATTCATATAATATTTTTTTATTTTAATTTTTATAATTTGATATTTTCCTTTCAGAAATACAAAACCTGAATTTCTCAGAACTTACGTAAGTTCATTTGCATGATATTTAATGATTATTTTCCTATTACCGCACCAAAATAAACGAAAATTAAGAGGTCAATGATCGTAACCCCCTTATAGAGGCCTCTTATGATTTTATTAAAAGCAATTCTCTTAAAATTAGAACTTTAAAAAATTATATAATTTGTTAAAATTAAAACGAAAAATAAATAAATTTATAAATTATTTACGATTCAGATTTACAAATAAACTAAATGAACTACAGTTTAGGGCCTCTTAGAATCGTGTACGGGAAGGCCTCATACTAAGAGTTATAACTTAGGGCCTTACGCTTTAAATTTATTATCGTTATTATTATAAGGGCCTCTTAGCTTAAGGCCCGTAACAAGTCTATGTCCGCTCCTATCATTTACAGTATGTTAATGAATAATTAGTTGCTTGGAGAGTTACACGTTAGTGTGTTAATTGTTTATAGAGTAATATTTTCAATAATTCAAACATTTTAAAATCTAATTTTAATTTATTATGTTTTAATTTAATTAGCTTCTACGATTTATTATCTTAAGTATAATCTTTAAATGTTTAAAAAAAAAACAATCTTCGATGAC